AGAATTAAGGGTAAGTTTACGGTTCAGTTTATGTGGGTGCTAGAGCTAAGACAGGAAAATATGTACCCTACCTCAAGGTTTTCACAAGACCAGTTTGTTCGTGCGGGCCTGTCGTTTGTATTCTCATGTCCTTTTTAGACAGCCATACAAGGCGTTTTTACCGTTGCTACTTTCCGGATATTGGGAACTTATATCCGTAAGTGACTCACTCGGTGAGATTTGAAAAACGAGCACCTAGTTTCTAGCATTGTAGCCAGGTAAAATTTCACATACTTTGCTCTTAAGCATTTACTGCTATCAAAAGCCACCCCAACTCTGCGTACGAAACAGTGCAGGCTAAAGGCTACCGACTATTCCTAGTTGGATTACAGTATACGTACTACGCGGCTGTGAATCGGCCAACGTGAAGGCATAGAGTAAGCACAGCCATAACGTAAACAACATGTCTCTTTGCACTGTTTACGGTATTCGAGCCTGCGATTACTAGGCGTTTATTCATCATACGGTGACAGACGTTTATGTAAGCGCGGTCGATAAAGGCACATTAGAGGAACATTTGGCTTCTGTATATTTAGCTTGCGTTTACTTTCTTTAAAAGACGTCATTTGTGAAATATCGTCCTACTATTTACGCAGATCCGTGGTAAAAACCGAAGGCGACCTACAGCAAAGCGTGCGTGCTCCGTCAATTTTCATACTTTTGTAATTTTAAACATCGTGGTCTTCCTTCGTGCCTACTACTGAAAATGTGCTATGCGGCAGAATGAAGTAAATGTGCCGGAATTTTTTAAGCAAGCATGCAAATTAACAGACTTTATACAAATTAACGTGACGCAAATTCCCTGTTAATATTTTCGTCCTGATATTCAGTCATTCATTTAAGAACCCTCTCTGTTTTCTGTGCTGATTCCTACTGTGACAATAATCTTCTTTCTTCTGACTAATTAGAGCCTCCATGTCACAGAACAGAAACCTAAATATTCCCGTCTCGTTGTTCAGAAACCCAGCTCAGTGTGGAAAATTCACCCGTTGAAATGTCGGTGGAGTATCATTTG